TACACTGGAACTATGTCTGTTCACTTAAGGACGATTTCATGGATGAAGAAAAATATACTCTTTGAAGAAGAGTATATCAGTGTTTGACTGAAATTTGTGCAGAATCACCAGAAATCAAGTCATTTATAGATGCAAAATATATATTTTTTTTAAACATCAGTGTGAGAAAAAGAACATACGGACAAATACACGAGAGAGTGTAATCAGTCCTTGTGGAGTTGAAGTAGAAGTTGCAGTTGGGATGGATGAGGCCCCGAATTGGAAGGGATGATGGATCTGGGAAAACACTTCCAAACCTGATTAGCCACCAATGGATTTGTGTTTTTATTTTTTCCTTAACTTCTGCAAATAGCTCCCCGCACAAAAGTCATTTTGGAAACTTATCTTTCAAAATTTGTAAAGACACCAATGATTTAGTTATCCTCATGTAAAGAGGGTAATTTATCATCTAGTCAAGTGTGCATGTGTCTGCCAGGAAAGCTGTGAGCCGACATACATCATACACAGTAGCTTCAAGGATTTGGTCGGCCTTCTTATGTGTATTTGAATATAGAATTCATTTTAGTCTGACATTTTTTACCTCTCATCATATTTTTCTTCTAATTAAGTTCTATAAATGTATCCTCTACCCATTTTGAGCTGTAATAAATTCCTTTCCTGAATTGGCCTTCTGAAAGTCACAAACCAACATTATGATGGATTGCAAAATGAAAAATTTCCCTTCTACTGTGTTTATTTTGAGTAGCGAAGTGCTGGAGAAAAATGAAACAGCATTTCACAAGAAAGAAGGCCCCACTCATAGTCTTTACAGGCCTGTGAGTTGAGTGTTTCCAACACGGACTGATCACAGCAGATTCACAAAACTGTACAGGCCTAATGCAAGGAAATGAATTTTCTGTTCAAACTTTTGGGGGTCAGTATTATTAATGGAAGGGACCCATAGTAAGAAGCACTTTGCTCTCATGTGAGCCCTGGGGTTACCCATGCAGGTCTGGACTGAGACCGTGATTTCTTTGGGAAATTGATTTCCTAAAGTCCATACTGCAGAAGAAAAGGAACAAGGCCATTCACAGAATGTACTGTGGGAGAAATGGATGTGTATTTTAAAAAAAAAATTAAGTCTTTGTTTCACTTCACTATATAGGCAAGTAAGTGCATTATGTCTTAGACTTGAGAAGGCTGTGTTGAAACTGAACAATTCATTGCTAATTAGGCTGGTATTTTAATAGGTGCTTAACATTGGGCACATTTGCTCCCATAACATTGTAAGGCATAGATAAAACTCTATATAAATAAGATTAAAGCATTGCCATAGATAAAGCATCAGGCATTAACCTTGTAGACTCTTGATTTTGAAATGGTTTAGTTCCAATATTTAAATAGCCACAATGATCATAACCCAGTTGACATAATGCTGATTAATGGGTTAATCATTAATTTTACATACTTCTTTCCCATTTCCCTCTATGCCTTGATAGAGTGGGGATTGCCATGTGCATCCTGAATTCATTACCGTAATCTGTGTACTGTGCATTGACTGAATCCAATTTAAGTGGTATAATAGTGCAGAATTTGAGCTCCTTTGCTTTGTGTAGATAGTAGGCCATGGAGTTAATGTTTTACTTATAGTATTTATTACAGGACTATGACAATGGTTATGATTCTTGATCTTTTCCTGGATCATGCCTGATTTAAGATATACTGTAATCTGAAAAGAATTTGTATTTTCTTAATAATAGGCATGGCTACTGATCCAACTATCCTAACACCAAATTATGATTGGCATCACTTTTCTCCGTAAAAGAAAAAAAACAGAGCAGAATATTGCTTTTAAAACAGAATTAGGCATAAGCAATTACCTACACCAACCATCTCATTTGGCACATAAGGAATCTGAGATCCAGTGAAGTTAATTAGATTGATGGCATTCAGAAAGTGATTAATGTTAGACCTATAGCCAGGATGTTAAAACTTGGTTCCTCTGAGTTCCAGACCAGCATACTATGAACCATCCTGCCTTACTAAAATGGGATAATAACTTCCATTTTATTTACTCACAATGTGAAACCATTCGCTACTACCTTCCCACAATTCTTTCTCCTCTCTCCCTGTGTAGCATCGCCATACACCCCCGAAAAGACATCCTGGTCTCCTGCGGTGAGGACCATGTCTGGAAGTTGGTGGGGCTCCCCAAAGGCAACGTGCTTGTAACAGGATTCGGCCACACTGGCTGGCTTTCCAGCGGCTGCTTCCATCCCAGGTCAGTGCGCTTAACTCCCCGAGCCAGCCTAATCTCTCCTGGGAATGCATTTGTGTATCCTGTTTCTTCACTCTCCTGGCTTTTTAAATTGAAATATGAATAACAGACAAAACTGTACATATTTAATATATACAACCTGATGAGTTTGGAGATAGGTATACATCGTTGAAATATCACCATAATCTATGTATAAACATTTCAATCATTTCCAAAAGCTTCCCCCACTCACTTTATTATTATCATCATCGTCATTAAAACACTTAATGTGAGATCTACCCTCTTAGCAATTTTTTTAAACACACATTATGGTATTGTTTACTATAGGCTGCATGGTATATGATAGATCTCTATCTAGGACTTACATTGTATAAGTGAAACTTTGTACTTTATTGGTTTTGATGACACTTTTCTCTCAGCAACCCCACACCCTCCACAGAATTTAGAAATGTGTAGATAAATGTTCCTTTGGCTTTCATTATATTGACTTTAGATTGATTTATTTTGATATTCAGTACCTGTAAAACTTAGCCCACATACTGATGCGTTCAACAAAAGTAATAAGCTTCCCAGAACCAGTGTTATTAATGCTTCTTGTACTTGCAAGTTCTGACAAGGCACATGGATTTCTAGTCAATAATGCATGCTAATGTTTACTTTGCCTCTGTTAATCATACAGGTTTTTCTTTTAGAATTAAGTTATCTACCGTAAAGGATAGGAAGGCAGTGATCAATTTCTTTAAAAATTCAATGACACTCAAGATATTAAAGAGAACAAAATAGAACTGAAAGTGTTGAACTCTGTAATATTCGGAATTCATTGAGTTTTTATGCCCCAAAGGCCAAGGGCACAGAAGGAAAGGTATTGTTAAACACACAGATAGATACATTATGTCTGGTGGCAGAAAGCTCCTACCCTGAATCCTGACTGTCTCCTGGTGTTCATCATTACTCTTAACATTTGTAAACACTCTACGTCTGCTTCTTTCTAACACTCTCTGGTTTTATTACTCTTGGGGACTCATAGTTCTGGTGCAATCTCTAAACCATTCCATTGGGAAATTTTGTTCTTAGATGGACTCTTTATTGATTTATGTTTCATGTTTTCACAAAACTCCCTTAAAAAAACAAACAAACATTTTTACCTTGGTATGAATGTCAATGTAATGAGATTGAAACAAAAATAAACTAAGTTTTTCAGAAATGTGTGAGTTAATGAAAAGAGTGAATGAATATTCTAGTAATTTAAATTTTTAAAAATTTTCTCAAAGTATAATTTATCTTTAATATTAGATGTTTGAATTTAATTTTTAAACATACAGTGCATTCTGTATCCAGGATATAGATAAACAGAGCCATGCCACCTCTCACCTCTTAGGGACAAAAAGCCCATCTTGCAAGCAGAGACAACACAATTAGAAGTGTAGCCTATCACTTAGGTAGTTGCTGGGCATACAAATCAGATTTCCATAATGCCCTGTTACCATGACAGCCACAGTGACTCAGAGATTTTCTCATTAGTGCCTGACCAGCACAGGATCCTTTTAATAGATCTTCCTGTTTTCCCACTCAATTACTGAAATTAAAATGAGATGAAATACATCATTATTCACTTATAATATGAATTTACATTCATTACTTTCTTTGGCAGAATTGTAGTAAAATGTAGCTACACTATTTGCTTTTTTCTAGTGTGTGCAATAAAAATAATGTGAAAAATATATTTAACCATAAGTGTCAGAAACAACAGGTCTCTTTTTATTTAGAGTAGAGATCAATTTTAAAGTAGTTTATAAATCAGCCCTCATTGGATTAATGCTTAATGTATACAAATCAACATTGAAGTCAATATACATATAATACAATATGTATAACATATGCATATGATATGTACACATGTATAATATGTCTTAAAAGTTGCTGAAATTTATGCTTTCAGAAACAAATTTGTGACATTTGATTTTTATTTTGGCTTAGGTAATTTAGTCAGTAAAAAAAATAGTTTAGTTTTGAAGATAGTATTTTTCCTATTTCTCTATATACATCCATCATTAAGAAATTCAACCAAAATATATTAGATTCAAAGATGATACTTTAGTGTATAGTTGGGTCTTTTGTTAATGAATGCAGTCATGGTCTTCCTTAGAGACCATCCTTGTGATCAGCTGGTTTCCGCTCCCTTGGAAAAGGCCTAGGGCGGACACAACTGTATACTGACACCTGCCTAAATCCTATAGGCTTCACCTAGAAAAACAAACTTGTATGTTTTCTTTATTTTTAGTTGTAATTGCTTCTAGTTCGGTGTTTTCTGTGGCTTCCAATTGGATGTACTCTTGATTACTATGTCATTCTCTTCTGCCACAGTGACATAACCCAGATTTCTTTTGGAGGAGGGGGTCAATCCTACTTGATATGACAGTGGTACACCTTGACTGACCCAAATCAGTCTTCATCTTCCGATTTCCTTTGCTGTACTGACACCAGCAGTATATAAACAGCAAATACAACAGGCATAGCAATATCAGTATCAGGCAAAGGAGGGTGGACAGGTAAAAAATAAACTTAGAGGGTAACTATCATTTGAGGATTCAGATAACATGATGTTGAATTATATAGAACAAAAGCTGTTTAAAATACAATAAGGTTCTGACAAAATTTCAAAATTTTTAATCTGTCAAGTAAACAAAATTTCAGGGCAACTAGAGAAATTAATAAAATAGTAAGAGCATTTAATAGTATATATTGAACTTTGTACTTTTTTGAAGAGAGAATATTCATATAAATTCTTTGGAATCATTCAGTGTTAGATTTTTAAAAATATATAAATGACTCTTACACCAAAAATGCAACATAAATGAATTCTGCAGAATAACAGTTAACATAAAACATAATTTGTGAGCAAGATTCATAATAAAATAAAATGATAAAACAATCAGTAAAATATAATAAAACCTGAATTATTATAAAGTAAATAATATTAGGTCAAAGAGGAACTATAAACTCTTTTTACCAAGTCAATAAACAATCACAACCACAATTCTTATCAAACTTATGAGATGTAACCAAAGCTGTAATCAGAGTAAAATTCATAGTTTTACATGCTTTATTATTAAACAAAAAATAGGTCCGGCCGAGTGGCACATTGGATAAGAGCTGGCTTGGGACGCCAGAGGGCCCCGGTTCGGATCCCACATATGAGGGCCAGTGACACTGCCCTCTACAGCTAAGATGCTGAACAACAGCTCAACCTGGAGCTGGGCTGCTGTGAGTTGCCTGCGACTAGGCTACAGCCCCTGCTGCAGTGGGTTGCCATGGGCTGCCGTGTGTAGCCAGCAGCCGCAGTGAGCGGCTGTCCAGAAGCTGGCGACTGATCTGCCTCGTCCGGGAAGAGCGCAATGATGGTGCCAACTTGGGCCAGTGAAGCAACGTCCTCCACAAACTAGACTGAAGAACAACAACAACAAAAACCGACACCAACTTGTCTGTTCCCCTTCCCCCAATTCCCCAGCACTGTTCCCATCCCCCAATTCCCCAATTAAAAAAATATATTTTAAAAAAATGAATAAAAAATAAAAATAAGTGAATTGTGAATTCAATTTTAAAAGTATAACTGGTCAATGAGGTGCATAAAAGCAAAAGAATGACTATATGAAAAGCAGATATTAATAAATTAGAATTAAAAGAGTAAATATATGTTAATCCAAAGTTTTTGTTTGTTTGTTTGTTTTTGTTTTTTTTTGAGAGAGAGAAAATTAAAAAAAAGGAACTACAATAAAATAAGTAGATACCTTAAAAAACTTCTGGAGAAATAAAAGTGAGAAAGTGTAAATATAAACTGTAGCAATTTAGAAGGAGTTAAGCCTACATATACATAGAGTGAAAAACATATATGTTTGGAATTTTTGATCAAATAATAGATTTCTATGAAAATAAGCATTACCCATACTGAATCAAGATGAAATAGAAACTCAGCATAGAGTAACAACAGTGGGAAAAAAAGAGCTTTGGAATTTCTACCTCAGGTTCCCATCTTAAAAAGTTTTATGTCTAAGTTTTCAAAATTTTATCTAAAAAAATAAATCAGTTAATTTTTAGGTTCATTGAAATTTTTGAGAAAATTAAAAATAAAAAGGAAATTTTATTACTGGTTCTACAAATACAATGTAAACATAATTCTAAACTAAACAAATGCAGTATCCCCACCACAACTGTAGGCCCATTTCACAATTATAGATGCAAAACTTTTTAAAAGAATGTAGTAAATGGAATTCAGTTATATGTTTAAAAGCAATATTATGACCAAGTAAGAATTTTATTTGAAAAGCATGAAATACATAAATGATCCAATTATGAGGACATCATATTATAAATTATATTAATAGGTAGATATTGAAAGTTACTTTAAGATGGTTAGGTGAAAATTTAACATCTATACTTAAGACACATATATTTGCAAATATTGTTAAGCCCCATGTTTTCAAATTGACAAGAAGAATGGACTTTGGAAGATCTGGGAACTGAGAAGACCTGGCAGGTGAATATAGAATCTGGAGTTAGACGGGTCAAAAGAGAAATGTGTGTGCATGCTTACAGGTAATAGAGCAAAGTGGGGAGCATGAAACCATACAGACAAAAATACCCAGAATTTCTAACGTCAAAACAGGAGCAAGGCGTTTGTCCAAGCTCGCACATAGCTATACAAACCTAGTTACTTTTCCAGCTGGTGTTTATTGTCAATAAATGTTAGCCACATTATTTTTCTCTTCCTTAATGATACTGATTGTTTTTATTAAAATATTTTCAACAATGACATTTTCTAACATAACTCAAAAATAAAATGGAAGATTTTACATACTGAAGGCATTTAAAAACTCTTATCACAAGAGTCAATCTCCCAAAGGCTGTGTTATTTCAAAATAACATTATGCACACAATAATAGATCATTGCCATATATTGTTTACCATAAACTTGGTTTGTTTGTATCTAAGTTTGTAGGTTTTTA